TCTAATAAAGTACCAAAGTCAATATTAGAAGTACCACTTGCTTCAGCTTCAGCTTCAGAGATTTTAGAAGCTTCAGGGTGTTGAGCCATCTTTTTTTTAAGAGCTCTTTTTTCTTTTTTCTTTTCTTCTATTTCTTTTGCATGGGCCTTCATTTTTTGTTTAGTCCAGTACAAATAATCTGGTTCATCATAATCATCATCATCATCATCATCATCATCATTATCTGATTCAATTTCATCCCTTTTTAATATTCCTTTATGCCAACCATATTCTCCACGTAGGAATAGCATAGGATATGCTAAAGGATCATATGCACCATGTAATTCAGATATTCTTTCTAATTCATTATCATGTCTTACAATAAGAATATCTCTTATATGCATAGTTTAATCAGAAAACCAAATTGCAGCTACTTCCTTAGCCAATGATGCATTATATTGTCTCATTTCTTTGCCATGCTTATTATGTATTAAAATATAATATAGAGGATCTTGTAAATCCTCATTTCCTGCGTCTACAAAAGGATTTAAATCCATTAATATATTTTGGATAATACTTTTCATTTTTCTGTTTAATGATTGCTTCATTACATCATGTCTTCTATCAATTTGTGCTTCAATATCTGAAGAATAATGAAAATATATTTGGGAAAATTGTGGTATTTCTCCTTGTGCTGGCAAAGCTAAGCTAATTTGATGATAATGATCACCCTGAATTCTATAGCAATATGCCTCCTTTTTTTCATTGGCAACACTCAAATCTAAATCAGTAGCAATTGATGTAAAAGCAAATGCTTGATTATATGCTCTTATTTGGTTAACAAATGGTACTTTAGATATTGGATCTTTTTCATTAAGAAAATAAAGAATTTCCAGTAGTGGTGCTTGAAGTGGTGCTAATACAACTTCACCATTTATGCAACAAAGTCCTGGTTTTTCCCCTTCTATCTTAACACCCCACAATGTTCATATTCAATATCTATTTTTCCACACTATAACCCCAATGTTCTTTTTATCATCCCCATCTTCATTGTCATCATCATCATCATCACTATCATCCCCACCATCATCTCTATCATCATCTCCATCATCATCCCCATTATCATCCCCACCATAATCTCCATCATTATCTTCATCATCATCTCCACTATTATCTTTGACCTCCTCCTGATATTCATCTAAACTACAATGTCCTATTTTATAAAATTGTCCAAATTGTTCTTCTTTTTGCTTTTTATATCTATCTCTATCTTTTCTTCTTTTTTCTTCTTTTTTTGCTTCACTCATAGAAGCTCTATGTGCTTGTTGTCTATCTCTTTGACCTTCTTTTGTTTTTGCTCTTGAGTCTGATAATGCTTTAGAAGTTCTAGATCTTGTTCTTGTTGAAGGTCCTGAATTTCCTTCTTCTAATGTTTGATAATATCTATATTTAGCATTTCTTTTATTTTTTAATCTATTTTCTCTATCTTTTTTAGGCTCAGTTTCAGGATTTTCAGGTGCTGCATATTCTCTTAAAATATAATCAGGAGTAGGTCTCTTTTCTCTTGTTTCTTTCTTTTCTTTTTTCTCTTTCTTTTCTTTCTTTTCTTTTGGCATTTTCTATCTCAGTTAAAAAAAAAATTATAATAAAATTATTAATTATTTGTATAATTTATAAATAAAACAAAACATTTATTAAATAAATCATATAAATTTTTAAAATTTTTACTTTAATTGTAAATTTTTTTACTTTCTTTTTAAATTTTACATGTTTTAATAAAATTTATATACTTAATATTAATTTATAATATTTTATTAAAATTTCTATTAAACTTACTATTATTTAGTTTATTTATTATATTTCTAAAACCTATAATAATAATTTATTAATTTATTAATTTAACAAAAAATTAGTATAAAAAATTTAACAAAAATTGTGTTTTTTTATTTTTTTTTAATAAAAAAAAGATTAAAAACATTTTTTTTGAAGGTTTGATACAAAACGTATCTGTAGGTTACCTGAATTCGGTATGTTATGCCAATTTTGGTACATTACGCCGATACGTTATGTTACGCCGATTCGTAACATTATGCCAATTTTGTCTATTTTTATATTTTTTAATTAATAATTTAATTAATTTTTAATTAATTTATTAATTAATTATTATTTTTTTTAAATTCGTAACATACGTGGTCACGTGACCCCGATTTCGGGTCACTGACCATTTTTATAGAAATTCAAATTCCCGTAAGTCACGTGACTTCATCACTTTGTTGGAGTTTCAAACTTTGTTTCGGCGGAGTTTGAAACTCCCCGATTTCGCAGGAATGCGAAATCCGAAGTTACGTGACTTCGTCAGCTGAGTTTCAATTTTTTATTGCCTCTTTGTTTTTTTTTTTTTTTCTTCCCCCTTCCCTCTTTTCGCCCAACCCCACCCCCACTCCACTTCCACTCTCTTCTCATTCTTTTTCTAACCCACTTTCTCTTTTTTCCTCTGTTCCTTTTTTTTTAACCTTTTATCTTTGCTTATTTACAACTTCGCTCAACTCTATCTACTATTTGGCCATTTCGTATCACTAATTTTTTTTAGAGACGCTTTTGCCTATTTTTGTCTGCTTCGCAAGCAAAAACAGACAAAAGCGTCACCAAAATTAATTAGTAACCGAGACTTGCCAAATAGTAGAGGGTGGACTAGCTCTTAAGACCTGGTCGGTGACCAGGTTTGAGTTTCTAATTTTTTGCTAATTCTTAGATTTTAATGTATTAACTCTTAGACCTCAACATTATTAACTCTTAGGCCTCAATATTATTAGCTTATAAGACTTGATTGGTAACCAAGTTCAAGGTTTTAACTTTTTGCTTATTCTTAGGCCTTAACATTATTAGCTCTTAGGTCTTAGATATTGTTTAAGTGTGAGTTATTAACTCTTAAGTCTAAATTATATTAGCTTGGTCGGTGACCGGGTTCGAGTTTCTAATTTTTTTGCTAATTTTTAGGCTTCAACATTATTAACTCTTAAACCTCAACATTATTAGCTTTTAAGACCCAGTTCTTTACTGGGTTCGAGTTTCTAATTTTTTGCTAATTCTTAGACCTTAATATTATTAATTCTTAGACTTAATATTATTAATTTTTAGGCCTTAACATTATTAGATCTTAGAACCTGGTTATTACACTTGAAATTTTAATATTTTGCTAATTCTTAGGTCTAAATTATATTAGCTTTTAAGACCCGGTCCTTGACTGAGTTCGAGTTTCTAATTTTTTGTTAATTCTTAGGCCTTAATGTTATTAGATCTTTGGACCTGATTGTTGATTGGGTTTGAGGTTCAAATATTTTGCTAATTCTCAGATCTAACTTATATTAGCTTTTAGGACCTGGTTGTTGCCTAGGTTCGAGTTTCTAAT